AGAGGCATAGAGGTGGAGATGGGGTAGAGGCAGAAAGGTTATCAGTCAGGGTCCAACGAGGAAAAGATGGCGCAGTAAAGCTGAGTAATTGAGAGTGTGTTAAAGGGGTAATTGACAAAGCTACAGCAGGTTTGGGGAAGACAATAAAGGATAGTGTGCAATCTTGAAGCTGGTGCAGCTTCGAACAATTATGGGGGAGGGGTTGTGTGTGTGTGTGTGGTGTAAGAGGAAGTTGTCACTCCTGGACCCAGGGAGAGAGCTGGACCACCTAACAGGATGTGTGGCCTTCAGCTGAGGGATGCAGGGAGAAGTTCAACGAGGAGGTCAGGGAAATAAATCGCCCACTTTGCTCTTTCTCTCCTGCCATTTCATTGACCAAACCAATTGGAAACCAGAAACCAAGGAAACCCATAAAGATTTACCTCCTGAAGTCCAGAGAATGGTGGAGAAGGGATCTGGAGGGACGGACAAAAAATAGACATATATACAGTAATTGGGTTAGAACCCAAGGACCTGTTATCAGTTAGCTCTTGCTTCAGTAATGCTGTGTAATAAACAACCCCCAAATCTCAATGGAACATATGTTTCATGGGTCTGTGGGTTGGCCAGGTGGCTCTGCTGAAGGCTCTGAAGGTTGAGGTGGCTTTGCTTCTCACTGCAGGTATGTCTTAGTTGGGGCCATTTTGTTCCATGTGTGTTCTCTCTACAGCACAGGCTGCCGGGGCAGCAGCTACCCAGGGGAGGATTGTCAGGCCTGGCGTGGCTCCTGCTCCATGGCACAGGAATTGATTTTATTTTTTAAAAATATTTCATTTATTTATTTGACAGAGATAGTACAAGCAGATGGAGTGGCAGGCAGAGGGAGAGGGAGAAGCAAGCTCCCTGCTGAGGGAGGAGCTGGACGAGGGGCATGATCCCAGGACCCTGGGGTCGTGACCTGAGCTGAAGGTAGCTGCTCAACCAACAGAGCCACCCAGGTGCCCCAGGAATTGATTCTAAGACACCTATAATTCTCTGTAGTTTCCAGCCATGATTTGGTGGGTCACAGCAATGTGTGACATGTAAAGAGTACAGTAGGGGCGCCTGGGTGGCTCAGTGGGTTAAAGCCTCTGCCTTTGGCTCAGGTCATAGTCCCAGGGTCCTGGGATCGAGCCCCACATCGGGCTCTCTGCTCATCAGGGAGCCTGCTTCCCTTCTCTCTCTGCCTGCCTCTCTGCCTACTTGTGATCTCTCTGTCAAATAAATAAATAAAAATCTTAAAAAAAAAAAAAAAAAGAGTACAGTAAACTCTGGCACCAAAGATTAGAAGACTGGCCAAAGGACAGTTCTCCATACCTGGTCAAGAAGACTAAATCGAGATCCTTTGGTTATGCCCATTTAAAAAAAAATAATATAATTTAATTTTAAATTTTAAATTAAATTATAATTATAATTTTAATTATAAATTTTAATATATAATATTTAGTCTTGAAAAAGTAAGCATATATATAATATATATTATATAGTAGATAATATATATTATATTATATTTTATATATATATGGGCAGAAAGAGAGGAAGAAGCAGGCTCCCTACTGAGCAGGGAGCCCGAAGTGGGGCTCTATCCCAGGACCCTGAGATCATGACCTGAGCCGAAGGCAGAGGCTTAACCAACTGAGCCACCCAGGCCCTAAAGTTGGTTTGCTTAAGCCTGCTTTTTTTCTGGACTTTTGCACAACTGGGCATGCTATGTACTTACTTGAACAAGAATATCTAGGAAGGGAGGAAAAACGATGAATAGGTGAAGCAAAATCTTTTCAACATTTCCTTTGTGATTTATAGAATAAACATGACACCATTCCATTAAGGGATTCTTCCTAGGAAAATGGAACTATTGTATAGAGCAACATCTCAAAAACACTGGAAAGTCCACCTGTACTTGTAAAATTGTTGAGTATAATAGCAAGAGAAGAGATACTTGATTGCACTGCCATTTAGAAAAAGTTTCTAAAGCTTTTCCCAGACTCAGGGCCATACTTTGGTAAAAGGATGAAACTGTTTTATCATCTGATTTTTTTCAGTCTATCTTCTTCCATTCATGTTGATGGAATAACATGTATAATATACTTAGATCCAATATACTGGATGTATAATAAGCAATTATGAGTAACATGAATTCCTTCATTTCTCTTGCTTGACTTCTCCCACTCTTTGGTGCTTTTATGATTTTATAACTGACTGGCCACATTCACTTTCCTCTCTTCCAATTCAGTCGTTTTTTGGTCTTGCAACTAATCTGTAGACATCTAACACAGTGAAGGAGTTTTATTGTTTCATCCAGCACACTTGTGCATAGTGTTTGGCATGGAAAGAGGAATCAGACAAGGTGCGTTTGTTGGGAAAGGAATCAGACAAGAAGTGATGCTTGGGCTGAGTCTTAAAGAAGGTTCTTTCCAAGGAAAAAAAAGATGAGGAAGGAGTCAGTTGAACTGTGGGGGTGAGAAAGAGCATGGGGTAAGTGCAGGTGGCTTGGAAGGCTGTTTGGGTGCCTGTGGAGGGAGGGTGGGGTTGCAGCTGGAGGGAAGGCTGGAGGTGTGAGTGGGAACCTGTGATTCTTTGGAAGATGCTAGGCTGAGGATTTGGGGTAGGATGGACTTGGATTTTGAATTAAGAATGAGGATCCTGATCAGATTTGCATTTTTGAAGGCTACTGTGACAGCAGTGTGGGCAACAGCAAGTCTTCCAAGTAGACCCTGTTCTCTAATTTCTAAAGTAGGGACAAGGGGCACCTGAGAGGCTCAGTCGGTTAAACCTCGGACTCCTGATTTCAGCTTGGGTCATGATCTCAGGGTTGTGAGATCGAGTCCCCGTCAGGCTCCATGCTCAGAGGGGTTTCTGCTTGAGATTCTCACTCTCCCTCTCACCCCACTTGTACTCTTTGTCTCAAATAAATAAATCCTTTAAAAGATAAAGTAAGGGCAATAAGTTTTGTATGAAGATTACAGGAGATAATGTCGGTGAAAATGCCAAACATATTAAAACTATTATTCTTCTTGTGTGACTTCTTTGAGTCATGAATGAGTTAATATGCTTACTTTTTCAAGAAGAGACCAGCTTTGTCATCTGAGGCAAAGAGGATATGCTTGGTATTGTTACCTGACTTACATAGCTTCCTACTTCCTTAAACATCTGATATTTAAAATGGGAGTGGCTATTACTATTTGTTGTCGGCTTTAGCTTAAATTTTAACTCCTTCAAATTGGAAGGGTGGTGGGGGAGCAGATGAATATTAAGAGAAGAAGAAAGGGTTTGTTTTTTTTTCCCCCTCCTGGTGTGGATTCATCCTTTCAAGAGCCAGTAAGGAAGAAAAAATTCCCTTCTCCCAGCATGTACGAAATCAGGTGCCTGAAGACATCATAGTTCATTAAATCTCTCCTCCCAAAAGAGCATGAGCTGTGAGTAGGTGAACAGAAGCCTGCTGTGTAAATAGCTAAATGCACAGAGAAGCATGTGAGGCATCTTATAATGTGAGATACTCAGATCTGATTTTATTCAGGGTGGTATTAAGAAGGACCTTGGTTTCTAAAGAACATTAGATCATTTTCAGAGCTCAGATCTGAATCCTGTCTCACTGGTGATGGTGTGACCGAGAAAATGATGTCAACTCTTTCTGATCCTCCCCTTTTTTGTCAGTGGGGAGGGTTGAAAAGCCTGCTTCATAGGGCTGCTGGGAGGAGGACATGAAATTGTCTGACTCAAGCACTTGCTGTAGTGCCTGACAATGAGAGCTCTGTAAGTTCAGGGCTAGGACAGGAGCAATCCCAGCTGTGGGAACTAGCTATTCCCTTCTCATGGGGGCAGAAGACATTTAAGTTGCTTCTAGGCATGAATCTTAATTACTTAAACAGGAAAAGGACAAAAAAGGCGATTTGGTTTAGTCTCTGAAAGGTCTTGAGTGATTGGGTTTCATCTATGAACAGTCTTGAGCCTGAATAAGTACTAGAGTCCAGCCCTTGACTTGTGTCATGGGGCCCAGATGCCAGTGGGTCCTGCCCACATGACCAGGCTACATGGACCGGGCATCAAGGCATAAAGATGCTGAGGAGATGGCCACTTCGGGCTGCAGAGATGGGAGATGGCATGGATGGTGACCAGGAGTAAGACAACATAGTCCACGCAGCTACAGGTGTGAAAGTCAAACTCTGTCTTTATTCTTTTACCATTTTATTTGGGATAGGTAGCAGCATTGCCTGGGAAGCTCCTTGGAAGGGGAGGAGAGGAATTCTGTTGGATAGAAATCTTACCTTTAAGAATCAATGATATCTAATGCCTATTTTCAGCACATTTCTTGTTAAACTTTTCAATGGCAAGTCAAGGAATAGGAGGAGGATGGACTCAGAGGAAAGGTTCTTTGCAGTAGTTCAATGTAGTGGCCAAAAGTTGACTCTTGCATTTCATTATGCATGCGCCTTGGAGTTATGCTTTTTGGAACGTGAATTAAGAAAACACAAACTTTCCAGATAGCGTATAGCTTTCTCCATCTTTCTTGTATCTCTGTCCTTGGTTGATAGGATGCTATACTTTCCTGACAGTCGTTAGCAGCTCTATTATGAGTCTGATACCACACACATTCATACTGCAGCCACAAAACAAGGCTTTCTAGGTGCTCTGTCTTTTCCAACAGATACCTTTCTACCACCCCTAACTCCCACCAAAATGAAGCAGAAGCACATCCTGAGTTGACCACTTCCTCTGGGCCCAGCCAGGCACACAGCAAGAATGCTGGCTGGTGATGGACTCAATACACAGCCCACCTGACTGAGCCATGTATATGTTCAGCCTTGACGTACCCTGGCAAAATCTGCAAGGATATTTGTAGACATTTCAAGTGATTGACTCTTCTGAGGAAATGCTACATTAAAAAATATATACACACATATATTTAATTTTTTTTAAAACCACAATTGAAAACAAAATTTTTGCCATTGGGTAGAATTAAGTCTGACAAGAAACCCTAGGAGTTTTTTTTATTAGTACCATTATTGTTTTCTTTGGCTCCATGTATTATATTGGTTAAAGGACAAAAAAAAAAAAAAAAGAAGAAAAGGAAAAAATTGTAAAAAGGCAAATATTTTGTACAAAAATACAAAGTTTTAAAAGCTCTTTAAGTATATTTCATATTATCACTAAGAGTTGGCTTATATATCTGTATGTCTGCATATTTTTCTTACGTTTGGGATTTTAGAAATGTAAGGTACTGTTTACACAATACAGTTTAAGTTCTTAGAGCTCAACAACCAATGATAGCCTTTTTTCTGATTGGAGCAATCCATACTTTGGAAGATGTGTTTTGCATAATTATACAGTTACTGGCTGAGAAAAATCTATGTGATTCAGTCCATTTGCATACTGAAAATCAATATATCATACTGGGGGAACATTTTAGTTCTGAAGTCCTTGAGTAAAGGAGGATGGTAAAGATAACCAGCCGTCAATCTTTTCAGAAACTGGTCTTCAGTGCTTTTTTTTCCAATCTGGAGAGAAGGTGATACAATCAGAGAGCAGTATCCTTTCCCTTTGAGAACCATCCAGAAGTTTGCTCATGTTATTATATCACAGTCCATTATAATGCAGATGATAGTACTAAAAGAGAGGAAAAATAATGGGCATTTAGTTTTTCTTAAAGAATACCATTAATGTACAATTAAAAAAAAAAAAAGGAACATGTATTTTAATAGAAAAGATTCCAAAATGCAACATTCAGTTATTTTTTCAAAGAAATGCCTGTAAGGTCATATTCAGATTAACTAAAAGGTAAATTTCCTTTTGAAGAAGCCTATTCTGGGCTCAACTCAAATCCCAAGTGGCCAAACAAGGCAAACAAATGACAAGTCTGGGTCACTTCTCACCCTCTACTGTAATTTCTTTTTTTTTTTTTTTAAATTGAGGTATAGCTGACACACCACATATTAGTATGTTTCAGGTGTACAATATGATTTGGTAATTGTATACATTCTGAAATGATCACCACAGCAATCTAGTTAACACCTGTCATCACAGTTAGAAAAATAATTTTTTCTTTTAACTTCTTAAATTTTAATTTTAATTCCAGCTAACACAGAGTGTTATATTAGTTTCAGGTGTATAATACAGTGATTCAACAATTCCTGGTGCTCATCATGACAAGTGCACTCCTTAACCTCCATCCCCTATTTTGCCCATCCCCCCAGCCTACCTCCCTTCTGGTAGCCATCAGTTTGTTCTCTATAGTTAAGAGTCCATTCCTTGGTTTGTCTTTCTCTCTTTTTCCATGTGTTCATTTGTTTTGTTTCTTAAAATCCACATGTGGGTAATCATATGGTATTTGTCTTTCTCTTCATGACTTTGCTTATCATAATACCCTCTAGCTCCATCCACAATATTGCAAATGGCAAGATTTCATTCTTTTTTGTGGCTGAATAGTATTCCATTGTATACATATAATACATCTTCTTTATCCATTCATCTATTAATGGAGGGTTGGACTGCCTTTCATTTTTTTGAAAGTTTCCTTTGCTGTGTAGGAGCTTTTTAGTTTGATGTAGTTCCAGTTGTTTATTTTTGCCTTTGTTGCCTTTGCTTTTGGTGTCAGATGAAAAAAATTATCACCAAGACTGATGGTCAAGGGGCGTACTGCTTATGTTTTCTTCTAGGGATTTTATGGTTTCAGGTCTTAAGTCTTTAATCCATTTTGAGTTAATTTTTGTGTATGATGTACACTTCATGATTTTGCATATGGCTCCAGTCTGCCTAACACTATTCATTAAAGATACTATTCTTTTGCTGTTATGTATTCTTGGCTCCTTTGTCAGTTAATTGACCATATATGTATGGGCTTATTTTTCTATTCTGGTCCATGATCTACATGTCTGTTTTTATGCCAGTACCATACTGTTCTCATTACTGTGCCTTTATAATATAGTTTGAAATCACATTTCAAAATGCTTCTAGCTTTTTTATTCTTTCTCAAGATGGCTTTGGCTCTTTGGGGTCTTTTGTGGTTTCATACAAATTTTAGGATTGTTCTATTTCTGTGAAGAATCTCTATGGAATTTTGATAGGGATAGGACTGAATTGCTTTGGCTAGTATGGACAGTTTAACAATATCCTTCCAATCCATGAGCATGGAATATCTTTGCATTTATTTATGTCATCTTCAATTTTTTTCATCAATCTCTCGTAAGGTTTCAACGTACAGATCTTTCACTCCTTGGTTAATTTATTCCTAGGTATTTTCTTTGATGCAATTATGAGTGGAGACGTTTTCTTAATTTTTCTTAGCATTCATAATTAGTGTATGGAAATGTAACAGATTGGTATACTGGTTTTTTATCCTGCAACTTTACTGAATTCATTTACTAGTTCTAACAAGTGTTTTGTTTGTTTGTTTAGTGGAATCTTTAGGATTTTCTATATATAAAATCATGCCATTTGTGAATAGTGACAGTTTTACTTCTTCCTTTCTAATTTGGATGCCTGTTCTTTTTCCCTCTAATTTCTCTGGTTAGGACTCCCCCACCCCATACATTTGAAAACCCTTCTATCTCCATAAAAAAAGATGTTAGTTGAATGGGATTTTTTAAAATTTAAATTCAACATATAGTACATCATTAGTACATACAGGACAACATAAAGCCAACATATAGTACCTCATTAGTTTTTGGTGTAGTGTTCAAAGATTCATTAGTTGCATATAACACCCAGTGCTCATCATATCACATGCCCTCCTTAATGCTTTGGCTAGGACTTCTAATACTACGTTGAACAAAAATGGCAAGAATGGGCACATCCTTGTCTTGTTTCTGATCTTAGACAGAAAGCTTTTAGCTTTTCACCATTGAGTATGATGTCAGCTATGGGCTTATCTTCTAAGACCTTTATTTTGTTGAGGCCTCTCTATTCACTTTGTTGAGAGTTATTTTATTCTAAATGGAGGCTGAATTTCATCAAATGCTTTTCTGTATCTATTGAGGTATTATTTTTATCCTTCATTTTGTGAATGTATCCTACTGATTGGTATATGGATATTGAACCATCCCTGCCTCCTTGCAATAAATCCCACTTCTCATGGTGTATGATCCTTTCAATATATTGTTGAATTCAGTTTGCTAATATTTTGTTGAGGATTTTTGCATCTATGTTCATCAGAGATATTGGCCTGTAATTTTCTTGTGGCATACTTCTCTGGTTTTGGTATCGAGATAATGATGGCTTTGTAAAATTAGTTTAGAAGTATTCTTTCTTCTATTTTTTGGAAAAGTTTGAGAAGGTTAGTATTAATTCTTCTTTGCATTGTTTGATAGAATGCACCAGTGAAGCCCTCTGGCTGTGGACTTGTTTGTTGGGAAGTTTTTGATTACTGATTTAATCTCCTTACTACTAATCTGTCTGTTCATGTATTCTTTTCTCTTTGTTATTCAGTCTTGGTAGGTTTATGTTTCTAGGAATTTATCCATTTCTTCTAGCTTGTCAAATTTCCTGTCAATAATTGTTCAGAATAGTCTCCTATGATCTTTGTATTTCTGTGGTATTAGTTGTAATATCTCTACTTTCATTTCTGATTTTACTTAAAATTGAGTCTGCTCTCTCTTTTTCGTGGCGAGCCTAGCTATAGTTTTGTCAGTTTTATCCTTTTAAAGAATCAGCTCTTATTTTCATTGAGCTTTTACAGTGTCTTCTTAGTCGGCATTGCATTCCCTTCTGCTCTCCTTTTTGTTATTTCCTACCTTCTGCTAACTTTGGACTTCATTTTCTAGTTCTTTGAGATGTAAACTTAGGTTACTTATCTGAGCTTTTCTTGTCTATGGAGGTGGGCATTTATTGTTATGAAGTCTCTCAGAACTGTTTTTGCAGCAGCCCGTAAGTTTTGGTATGTTGTATTTCCATTTGCATTTGTCTCAAGGAATTTTTTTTAAAAGAATTTATGTATTTGACAGAGAGTGAGAGAAGGAGAGAGAGCACAAGTGGGGGGGAGCAGCAGAGGGAGAGGGGGAAGCAGGCTCCCTGCTGATGCGGGACTCGATCCCAGGATCCTGAGATCATGACCTGAGCTGAAGGCAGAGGATTAACCCACTGAGCCACCCAGGTGCCCCTCAAGGAATTTTTTGATCTCTCTTTTGATTTCTTCTTTGATCTACTGGTTTATTTAGTAGCATGTTGTTTAATCCTCACATATTGGTGAATTTTCCAGTTTTCCTTTTGTAATTGATTTATACTTTTATATCACTGGGGTCAGAAAAGATGTTTGGTAGGATTTCAGTCTCCTTAAATTTAATTTAACTTGTCTTGTGGCCTAATATATGATTTTAGAGAATGCTTCATGTACATTTGAGAAGAATATGTTTTCTGTTGATTTTTTTTTTTTTTTTTTAGATTTTATTTATTTATTTGACAGAGAGGTCATAAGTAGGCAGAGAGGCAGGCAGAGAGAGAGAGGGGGAAGCAGGCTCCCCGCTGAGCAGAGAGTCCGATGCGGGGCTCATTCCCAGGATCCTGAGATCACGACCTGAGTCGAAGGCAGAAGCTTAACCCACTGAGCCACCCAGGTGCCCCTTCTGTTGATTTTTTTTTTTAATCTTTATTTATTTGACAGAGAGAGATCACAAGTAAGCAGAGAGCCAGGCAGAGAGAGAGAGGGGAAGAAGGCTCCCCGGTGAGCAGAGAGCCCAATGCGGGGCTTGATCCCAGGACCCTGAGATCATGACCCGAGCTGAAGGCAGAGGCTTAACTCACTGAGCCACCCAGGTGCCCCCCTTCTGTTGATTTTTGATGGAGTGTTTAGTATGTCTGTTAAATCTATCTGGTCTAATACATGGTTTAAGGCTGATGTTTCCTCATTGATTTTCTGTCTGGGTGATCTAGCCATTGATGTAAGTTGGGTAATAAAGTCCCCTGCTATTGTACTGCCGTCTATTTGGTCTGTTAAATCTTTGTTTCATGTATTTAGGTGCTCCTATATTGGGTCCATAAATATTTATAAATGTTACATCCTCTTGTTGGACTGACCCCTTTATTATTATGTAACGTCTCTTATATAGTCTTTGTTTAAAGTTTCTTTTGTCTGATATAAAATAGCTATCCCATCTTTCTTTTGGTTTTTGTTTGCTTGGTATATCTTTTTCCATTCCTTCATTTTCAGCTTGTGTGTACCTTTATGTCTGAAGTGAGTCTCTTGTTGGCAGCATACGCACGGGTCTTGTTTTCTTATCCGTTTGGCTACTTCATGTAGCTGATTTTGATTGGAAAATTTAATTCATTTCATTCACTTAAAGCAACAGTTGATAGGTGTATACTTAGTCATTTAAAAAACTGCTTTTTGGTTGTTTTATAGTTCCTCTTGATTCATTTCTTTTGCTCTCTTACTTTGTGATTTGATGACTTGCTTTAGTGGTATGCTTAGATTCTTTTTATCTTCTGTGTATCAACTACAGGTTTTACTTTATTGTTACCATGAAGCTTACATGTAACTACTTATATTTATAACTGTCTATTTTAACTTGATAACAACTTAAGTTTGCATTCTAAAGCTCTACATCTTTACTCCCACTTCCCACATTTTGTTTTTGATGTCACATTTCATCTTGTGTATTTCTAATTTTTGTAGTTATAGTTATTTTTACTACTTTTGTCTTTTAACCTTCTACCAGATTTATAAGTGATTAATCCACCACTTTTACTGTTTATCCTTACCAGTAAGATTTATACTTTTGTATGTTTTCTTTTTATTAATTAGCACTTTTTTTTTTAAGCTTAAAGAAGTCCCTTTAACATTTCTTGTAAGGCTAGTTTAGTGGTGATGAACTCCTTTGGCTTTTGATTATCTGGGAAACTCTATCTCTGTTTCAATTATGAGTGATAAGGCTTATGGGGTTTCCCTTGCAAATACCAGTTTTCTTTTCTCTTGATTCCCACCCCCCACATTTTTACTTAAATTCTAGTTAGTTAACATATATGGTAAAATTGGTTTCAGCTATAGAACTTAGTGATTCATCACTTACCTGTAATACTCACTGCTCATCACAAGTGCCCTCCTTAATACTCATTACCCAATTAGCCCATAAATTCTCATTATTTTTTAATTGTTATGTGTCTTGGTGTAGATATCCTTGGCTCCATCTTATTAGAGGCTCTGTATGCTTCTTGGGCCTGGATGTCTGTTTCCTTCCTCAGATTAGGGAAGCTTTCGAGTAAGTATTCTGCCCTTTTCTCTCTTCTGGGATCCCTATAATGTGCATGTTATTATGCTTGATGATGTTACAGAGTGCCCTTTAACCTACTCTATTTTTATTCTTTTATCTTTTTGCTGTTCAGCTTGGCCACTTTCCATTACCCTGTCTTCCAGACTGCTGATCTGTTCTGCATCCTCTAATCGGCTTGATTCCCTCTAGTGTATTCTTTGCTACTGAAATCTTTCCATCCAACTGGTTCTTTTTGTATTTTCTATCTCTTTGCTGACATTCTGAGTTCATACATTCTTTTCTCAAGTGCAGAGAGTACCTTTATGACCATTACCTTGAATTCTTTACCAGCCATATTGTTTATGTCCATTCATTTAGCTTTTTATTGTGATTTTATCTTGTTCTTTTATTTGGGACATATCCCTCTGGCTCCCCATTTTGTCTGTTTGTTTCTACGTATTAGGTCAGTCAGCTGCAATTCCTGGTCTTGAAAGTAGTAGCCTTGTGTAAAAGAGGTCTGTAGGGTGCTATCATGCAATCCCCCCAGTCACCAGAACCAGGTGCTCCAAGGGTATCCCCTGTGTGGGCTGCAGGTGTCCTCCTGTTGTGGCTGAGCTGACTGCCTTCAGCACAGCCAGATACAATGACCCACTTTGCCTGCTGTGGGTGCACCAGGCAGGGTTTGCTCCCTGTGGTGTTGAGAGGGCTGTCAGCAGCCACCATGAGTTCACGAATGGGTGGGGCCAGCAGTCAGGCTAGCTGCCTGCATCTGAGCAGGCCCACCAAAGGACAGGTTTGTTCCCTGTGCAGCCAGCTGTAGGAACATCCCCTCATCTTCCCGGGGCAGGAGTCACTTTGGAGTAGTGGTATCCGGGCCAGGGTTGCCTCCCAGGTGTGGCAGGGTAGGACCTGCTCTGGAGGGATGCTTGCTGAGATGGGTGGGTGGGCTGGTTGGGGGGCAGGGGGTCTGCAGGAGAATGCCAGGGCAGAGCATGTAAGGTAGATGGAGAGTGTTAGCATTGGCTCCCCTTCGCTTGCTAGCCTTGGCTTGCCTTGGCTATCTAGGCTGGGAAAAAGAAATGGTGCCCACCAGTACTTCATCCCTAGAGAAGTCTTCAGATCTCTGCCCTTTCAGCACATGTTCTAAGATAAGTCCCAGGTGTTTTTCAAACTACTGCTTCTGTGCCGTGTCTTGGGTAGAGTTATGTATGCTGACATTTTAAGGGTAGGGACTCAGTTTCCCTTTGCTCTCCAGCTCTCCAGGTGCCTGGTGTGGGGTCCTATCCTCTCGCCTCACCATGCTTGTGATGTCCCTCCCATTTTCGTTAGTCACAGTGGGGGTTTGGTTTCCAACCATATCTCTGTCCCTCCTTTCTCTTATATGACCTCCTCTCTGATTAGCTGTGGGAGGTCTGTTCCGCCAGTTTTCAGTTAGTCGCATGGAGGTAGCTGCTCTCTTGGGTGTCTTTGCCACAAAGTGAACTCAGGATCCTCCTATTCCGTCATCTTCCCCAGTATTCCAGTGAGCAGCTTGATGGCCATTACCGTGAGCACTTTATCAGGGAAGTTACTTATCTCCACTTTATGAAGGGTTCTCCCCTTGCTGCCGAAGTTTTATCTTGCTCTTTTGTTTGGAACATTTTCCTCCGTTTCTTCATTTTGCTTGACTATCTGCTGGTTTCAATGCATTAGATGAGACCACCTCTCCCAGCCTTAAGGAGCGGCCGTATATAGGAGATGAACCTTACCATTCAACCCCACTCTAGCTCTTGGTTGTCTCTCAAACTTTCTGATTGTCCAAGCAGCCTATTTTATTTTTAATAGCTCCCCATAGTTGAGGGTGTGCCAAGGTCAGTGTCCCAAAGGGGAAGATCACAGTCAGCACCTAGATGCAGGCTGATTGGAAGTCAGACCTTCAGGCAGCAGTGTTTAAAGACTGCAAACAGACACAGTCCTGTGGGACCACATGTGTAAGCTCTGAAGGCCACCAAGGCCAGGTGATCTGGAGGTGTCATTTGCAAAAATACCCGTGGGCACAGGGAGAGCACAGAGATGGCATCCCCCAGCCTCTGTTCCCTAGGAAGGCCTCAGATGTATGCCAATCTGATAGGTCCCCTAGCCCACCAGACACATGCAAGAGCTCCCCTCCAGGAGACGGTGGTGCTCTGGAGCACAGCAGAGAGAGAGCACGGAGATAGTGACTGTCCTCCAGACCTCTGGAAATGATTACAGTCAGGCCTTAGAGGTGTCCTTCATCACAAGCCTATGCCTCAGTCTGCAGTCATGGTGATAAGCGGACACGTGTCTTTCACAGAAAGTGGAGCTCCTGGGTCTGTTATCTCTTGCTGTGCCCTGGAGGGGGGTGGTAGCTGTGTAAGAACTCTTTCTCTGCTGGTTACAGTCCTGCAGGATCCATGAGTATAAGACCCACAGGCCACTGGAACCAAGCCATGTAGATATGGCCCCTAGTGACAGCTGCAAACACGGATGCACTGGACAAGGGTCTAAGCTCCTTTCTGGGAGACGCCAGTGAGCTTAAGTGAGTCTGAAGGATAGTGTGCAAGGGCTGCAGCCACTACCCTCCGTTCCCGAGGAATACATCCACAGGCCCTTGATGTGGTCTAAACCGGAGGCTGCCTCTTAGGCCAAAGCCCCTGGACAGGAAACTAAGCTGCTGTTGCTTCTTTTTATTTTAGAGAGAGAGACAGAGACTGGTGTGTGAATGGTTGTGGGGGGAGGGTGGGAGAGAGAGAAAATCCGCAAGCAGACTCCCCGCTGAGTGCAGAGCCCACTGTGAGGCTCAAATCAGGACCCTGAACTCATGACCTGAGCTGAAATCAAGAGTTAGACACCTGACTGTTGAATGGATGTATGGAGAATCTGTGCCCCGGTTACTACCAACAATAGTTTGAGAAAATGTATTTGAGGTTTTTTTGTTTGCCACCACCATTTTCATAAAGGTTTTATGAGACATAATTCACATATAAAATTCATCCACCTAAGGTATACAATTCAGTAGTTTTTAGTATATTCACAAATTTGTACAATTTAGAAGTACCTAATTTTAGAACATTTCATCACTCCACAAGAAATCCATACTTATTGGGATTCACCCCCCACTTCCTCCTACTCCTACCATAAATGTTTAAATCTAGTCCTGATGAAGAAAACAAAGATGCCCCATTCTGAAAAGGGTCACGTATTACATGAAGCTTTAGATAAGGATCTTTTAAAATAAAAAATAGATACATCCAAAAGCTTCTTTGGCTTACAGGCTTTTCAGGGGTATAGACCATCTCCCTCCATTATCTAGCATAGCCCCCGGCTCAGATTAGATGCTCAATAAATACACGTGGAGTTGAATGGTTGGCCGCCTAAAATCTCCGTGTGTGGAACTCTATAAAAGAGGCATGACACTGGTACCAAATTTATTAACTGACAATATTACAAGAAAATGACCTAGAACAGTTAGTCTAATACTTACTTCCTGTACGTTTGAGGCACATTTATCAACTTATTTAAGCTCTCACAACAACCTCATGAAGGGGATACTGTTACTATTTCCCTGAGGTTTACAACCTTCCCTCTAACAAGCGGCCTAACCAGGACTAGAACCCCATTGCAGAGCCTGCATTCAAAGCCCTTACCCTCCTTATATGTCACCCTTGAACAGGAGGTAGGCTCTGCAGCCCACCCTCAGATCCCCACTCCTGCTTACCTGTCTCTCTGTCCTTTTCGCAAATGAAGTTATTGATGTCTTCACACTGGAAGTCATTCCACTGCCCAGCATAAATCAGCCCAGCACAGTCTTCTCCTGGCCCGTGGCCATGACCCCAGTTATCTGGCTGTCCAGCTTTCCAATTTCTTTTAATGAAAAGAAGTTGAGTGTTATTTGCAAGTCACGCCACAGTTTTCTTTACCCAAGAGCAGCAGAGAAATGTAAAAAACAAAACTGCATCCTGTCATTTGTCCTGGAAGGAAAATGCACTGTTTAAGGAGTGTTCTTATTCAGAATAAAAAGCAGCTGTTTTGCAGGGTAGTGGGTAACACAGCATCTCCCTGTAGGCTTGTTATTTTTGCCACAGAGAAATCAACTCACTAAGCTGCTGCATCAGAATGCTGAGGGAGTGAATCCTTCTGGCAACATGGTTAGATGAGTAACCTTCCAGTGTGTATGTGTGTGTGTGTGTGACTATACATGCACTCAGTGGACACGCTACACACACTCTCTCACTCACAAGAGAACCAGGGGGATCCTTGCACATTTTGATACCTTGCCCGTGACCTGTTAGTGTCAGGGAAAGTGAGGGACTGCTAATATACATTTCTGAGAATTTACACCCACCAACCTTGGGTTATGACAGTCTGCTTTAGAAAGAAATAGTAATTTAATCTTACTGAAAATGACTCCTCTGTTCCCTACCTTTTTTGGGAGGGAAATGCTCAAAAACAAGTTTTCTTTAGGATGCGTTCACTTGGGGCTTGTTAACTTGGATGCCACAGCTCAAAACACCACTTTGCCTGAGTCTGCACTTCTCAATTGTTTCTACGCAATTCATTAGATGTGCTTCTAGGACTCAAAACTTGAAAGCTGAATTTTCTATAAGAAGCAGGTTCTTGCATAAAAGCTTGTGGTTACTGCCTGAGAAGACAAGCTTGCCTCATGTGGAGGGTCTGTAAAAACATGTGCGGCGGAAGGTTCTTCCCATAAACAATGACTCATTGCCCCGTCAGCCATAGGGTGTCCTAGGGTCACCCGAGGACACAGCCCCTATTGCCCTATATCTTTTTTTCTTTATCTATGTCACACACACACACACACACACACACACACACACACACACACACATATATATACACACATACGTAAAATATATAATGTATTATTATTTGCCCTAGGGGTACAGGTCTGTGAATTGTCAGACTTATACAATTCACAGCACTTACCACAGCACATACCCTCCCCAATGTCCATAACCCAGCCACCCTATCCCTACCCCCCAACCCCCAGCAACCCTCAGTTTGTTTCATGAGATTGAGAGCCTCTTATGGTTTGTCTCCATCTGATCCCATCTTGTTTCATTTTTTTCCTTCCTTAACACCCACGACCCCCATCTTGCCTCTTAAATTCCTCATATCAGAGAGATCATATGATAATTGTCTTTCTCTGATTGACTTATTTTGCTTAGCATAATACCCTCTAGTTCCAGCCACGTTATTACAAATGGCAAGATTTCAGTTTTTTTTTTTTTTATTTTTTATAAACATATATTTTTATCCCCAGGGGTATAGGTCTGTGAATCGCCAGGTTTACACACTTCACAGCACTCACCATAGCATATACCCTCCCCAATGTCCATAACCCCACCCCCCTCTCCCAACCCCCCTCCCCCCAGCAACTCTCAGTTTTGTGAAATTAAGAGTCTCTTATGGTTTGTCTCCCTCCCAATCCCATCTTGTTTTATTTATTCTTCTCCTACCCCCTTAACCCCCCATGTTGCATCTCCACTTCCTCATATCAGGGAGATCATATGACAGTTGTCTTTCTCCGATTGACTTATTTCGCTAAGCATAATGCCCTCTAGTTCCATCCATGTCATCACAAATGGCAAGATTTCATTTCTTTTGATGGCTGCATAGTATTCCATTGTGTATATATACCACATCTTCTTTATCCATTCATCTGTTGATGGACATCTAGGTTCTTTCCATAGTTTGGCTATGTGGACATTGCTGCTATAAACATTCGGGTGCACATGCCCCTTCGGATCACTACATTTGTATCTTTAAGGTAAAGACCCAGTAGTGTGATTGCTGGGTCATAGGGTAGTTCTATGTTCAACTTTTTGAGGAACCTCCATACTGTTTTCCTGAGTGGCTGCACCAGTTTGCATTCCCACCAACAGTGTAGGCGGGTACCCCTTTCTCCATATCCTCTCCAACATCTGTCGTTTCCTGACTTGTTAATTTTAGCCATTGTGACTGGTGTGAAGTGTTATCTCACTGTGGTTTTGATTTGTATTTCCCTGATGCTGAGTGATGTGGAGCACTTTTTCATGTGTCTGTTGGCCACCTGGATGTCATCTTTGTAGACATGTCTGTTCATGTCCTCTGCCCATTTCTTGATTGGGTTATTAGTTCTTTGGATGTTGAGTTTGATAAGTTCTTTATAGACTTTGTATACTAGCCCTTTATCTGATATGTCATTTGCAAATATCTTCTCCCATTCTGTCAGTTGTCTTTTGGTTTTGTTGACTGTTTCCTTTGCTGTGCAAAAGCTTTTGATCTTGATGAAGGTTGAAGCAGTCATCAAAAATCTCCCAACAAACAAAAGCCCAGGGCCAGACTGCTTCCCAGGGGAATTCTACCAAACATTTAAAGAAGAGTTAATAACTATTCTCCTGAAACTGTACCAAAAAATAGAAATGGAAGGAAAACTTCCAAACTCATTTTATGAGGCCAGCATTACCTTGATCCCAAAACCAAAGACCCCATCAAAAAGGAGAATCATGACCAATATCCTTGATGAACACGAATGCAAAAATTCTCACCAAAATACTAGCCAATAGGATCCAACAGTACATTAAAAGAATTATTCACCACAACCAAGTGAGATTTATTCCTGGGCTGCAAGGTTGGTTCAACATCCACAAATCAATCAATGTGATAACACTACATTAATAAAAGAAAGAACAAGGACCATGCCCTACATCTTTTGACAGGAGTATCAGGTACGACCAGAGGGTAGTGGAAAGGATGGGTGAAATTTACAGTTAAAGGGTGAGAAGATGAGGTAGAATTGTCTCCCCCACACTAAATATATACATATTGTGATTTTTTAAAAAAAATGTAATCTAGTGACAAATAGATAATCTAGATGAAACCATCAACTGAAGAAGAGTAAAAAAGGGATGATACTTAGGAGGGAGAGTTAGAAATACTCATTCACACAGTCAGTCCAGCAGATCTCCCCAGAGCACCTACTATGTGCTAGGATGAAGCTACATGACGGCAACACTGCAGTGCAGGGAGAAGACAGAATTCCAGCCTTCATGGAACTTCCGTCACCGACAAGAAACAAGGGAATTAAAAATCTCAGACCGCCATGGTGATGCCAGAGAGAAATGAGGTTGGACGGAAAAAGAGGTTACTTTCATGGCTGCTTTTCTGTGTGTATTTCCATCCACCTCGTGGGACCCCTTTGGCAATGTCAACAATGCCTGAGCAGCTGGATCCTGCTGATGGACGTTTGCCTAATCCCTGCCAGCAACCTGAGGGGGTTTGATTCCAATTTTGTTTACAGAATTTGAGATCTGTGATTCCTGAATGTATAATGATGGGATATCTGATAGTCTTTATCTCAGTTTACTAGGAAGTTGTATAAATAGGACTTTTGGAGAGACCTGCTTAGTTTTATTCCCTTGCATATCCTTCCATTTAAATAGATAAATGGGATTTAGAGAAGAGACCAAAAGATAACTGACTGATAAGAGAGGAGGTAATGTTTATCACCATTCTCTGTTATTTTTCTAAGCCTTTGGAATTCTTTGCCCGCAGTGCTCGAGGTTTTCCTGTGAGACAAGAACTGGGTCGTAGTCCTGTGGCTGCGAGGGAGTGACTTGAGGGGACACTGGCATTGGGGGTGGGCTGGTAGAGGAGCCTGAAGCCAGGCTGCAGGGGGAAGCAATTCTTCCAGCAGCCCAAGCACCCAGTCTCAGAGCATCTCTTTGGAAAAGCCAAAATCACATGCAGTGATTTGTAGCAAATACCCTGAGTCTGCATGCTTGTACTACAACAGAACAGAACATGTCCCGTAAACAGAGTTTATATATTTTAGAGAAAAATTTTAGCTTAAATCGTGCCTTAACTTCCTTTACAAGTAGAATCAGAAAAGAAGATGGCTGAAACCTGGGCCCCAATCCCTGAGTCCCATACTACATAGACACATCACAGAAGTGGCTGGGTAGCGACAGAGGTACTCGGGGAAGCATGCTCTAGATACACCAGGGACCTGGGAAGCGCTTGGACTCCCTACTCCAATCAGCTGCAAACACACAAGCATGTAGGCCAGTGGGTGTGAACCTCCCCACTGAGGATTTTGGTTTCTCCTCATGGCAGCAGAACACAAACTCTCCATCTTGGGAACCCCTTCCAACCTCACGAATTAGTACTTTCTCATCAACCACAAGATTGAGGCTTCAGGGCCAAGAAACTTCTGCTGGTAAAGCCTGGCCCCAAAACAGGAAAACCTCCATCTTGAGAAGTGTTACTTGGCTGTAGAATTTTCTTCTGATACAAGGTTCTACATAGATTTCTTGCTGGTGGCCTAAAAGCCAGCGCCACTCTGCTAGAAATGTGAAGCATAGACCAGAGTGAGTTTTTAGTGAATCAGGTGACTCTGAAGGTTCCCTTCTGGAGGCCACCATACTATAGCTCTCTAGTCTAAAAAACACAATACGTAATAGTATGTGGAGGGGTCTGCATGGATAGAGAGGCAGCCCAGAGCAGAGACGGGAGTGTTACTCATCACTTGACAGGATACTTCCACCAAATGATGTCCCGTGCAGGAGACCAAGAAATGGACAAGAGGAAGAGAGGAGCTTCAAGTGTGTTTTGGGAAACCCTTGGGAAGACGATCACGTCTCTGCTGATCTAAGGTGGGCAGGTGCAGGCAGGGTAGGCAGGAGAGGCCTTACAAGGTTCCCTTATAGTTGTGCTCTGAGCCAAGCCAGTGGGCAGAATCTACATCCCACGTGGGACCGATTCCCCCACTCCTACCGGGCAGCCTCCGTGAATGGTGACGAGCTCTGCCAGGCAACATACTTGCATTTATTCCATCAGGAGCAGAAAGCTCCGCTGGGATG